GATCGAAAAAGAGAATTTTTGAATACATAATAGCCAGATTAATAATGGATAGGTTCATCCTGTTTTTGTGTTGAATTATTGATAGAGATTGTTGACGGCAGGGGTTTTGAATAACTGGGAGATTGATTGCACAGCAGTTATAGTTAATAAAGCTTCATGACAGTGTGTAACTTTTGGAGGTCTGTAAATGTAGAGCAAATGATTTAGAACTATGCAAGTGTCAAATCAGCAAAAGTTAAAATGTATTTATACATAAAACATACACTCCAGCACTTTCAACTACAAATGCCCAGTCTGCATGGAGTTATATTTGTACCTCAAGGAATTATTTGTGTTTGAATAAATAAAATCAAACCTGTTTTATCTTTTGGGAAAAAAGGCTTTCCCCCTTATGCTGAAAAGCCGGATGTCTGGGTTTTCCACCAGCACTCAAACACATCATGCATTTGAGGATAAGAGACTGTGAAACAGCCTCATAACTCCACACAAGTTGAACCCAATCCACGTATCCAACTGTCTGTGTAAACAATCTGTAAATAAATGCAAACAACGTCACAAATATTTTTATTTATATGCACAGGAAGCTTTATAAAAGCAATGTTATTCACTCTATGAAGTTAAAGTTGGAAATATGTAAAATAGATGTATACTCAAGTTGTAAAGATTGGTTTGTACTTGTTTGTGGAGTGGAAAAAGCACTTGTGACCACCATACTTTACTCACAAATCATCAAACACATTTATCAATCTCATTTTTCATTTTAGAATCATGAAACACACATTTCTCACCAATACTGACACAAACGTCTACCATAATCTCTAATATAGCTATTTTTCAGACTTATAATTGTCCCATCACATGCTCAGAACTGAGGGACATACTAAATTTCATAACGGTCGGTAAATTATGCAGAACGTTTACAACACACTTACACGTTTTGTTGGTAATTTTACCATTTTCTTGTGTTTCCTGTTCCAAATAAGTTTGACTGAATGTTTGTTTAAAACCTGGATGATCATCTCACATCTTATGTTTCATGCCCTGTGACTTCTTTTTAGAGACAAAAATGTTGTTGAACTTTTTCTGTTGCTATTTTTCATGAACGTAGCTAGCTAGCTACCAAGATCCCCATTCTAGCTAGATACCAAGCTAGCTAATCATTCAACCAATCAGAGCTTTGTGGGATTAAGAATGGAGATGCTATCCTATTTAGCTGCATTGGAAGATAGCATCTCCATTCTAGCTACCAAGCTAACTAGCCAGATGGTGATGCTAACTTCTTACGTAGCTAGCTAGCTAGCTAGAATGTTGATGCTATAGCTTTTCCATTTCCTAATCATACAAAGCTCTGATTGGTTGACTATTTCAACTGGTGGAAACAGATGTCAGTGGGCACTCTAGACCCATTTGAATGGCTAAACAAATCTGAGATGGTGGTTCAGAAAATCATTGGTCGTGAACCAGGCTAGCCATGAGCCAGACCTCAGCAATTAATTTGGTGCACATAGAGTCATTATTATTGATAGAAAGGATGACCAAAACTAGCTACAAAAATAAGACAAAATCTATAATTAACTGGTAAATTTCTATAATGGTTGTAACTTCTATGGTTGATGAGACATGAGACATCCATATATATCCAACTTTAATTTCGCCGTCGTAATTTGTGCAACTGATTAGCGCATTTTACATGTAGCGATGAACATGTTCAGTGCCTGGCCTTCGTTGTTGATTAACTTAATTGTAAACACGACTTAAATCATTACAGACAAGGTAAGATGAAGCGAGTGTGGCACAGTGGGATACTGACGACTTACATAAATGATAAACTGGTGGTGTCCTCCAGATTCAGGCAAAAATGCTGCATTTCTTGGCTGACGATATGGATGGGGTCAGCCTTAGGTCTTGACATTCAAAAGGAGGACTTTGAAGGAGGAGGCCACTGACATAATAATACATTTTATTTATAGAGCACTTTTCAGGATACTCAAAGACGCTTTACACAGAAGAAGAAAAATACCAAATAATATAAAACATCAAACAGTAAATATCGGAACTTGAGTTTTTGCTCTGTTAAAGCTTCTGCACATTCGTTTTACACCTGGACAGGTACTCTCAATTATTTTGCCAGATTAGTCATTTTCTCAGGACTGTGTGGGCATGTACAGATTTAGTTAAAATGATATGTCAGTTTTATTAAACCTATTATGGAAGGACAACTACAGCTTTGCTTCTTTTAAATATACAAGGTTTGGTGACCAGGCAGAGTTCTCCCTGTCACAATTGGCTATAATAAGTGAAAATACCTGTTTGGAGTGACAGTATTTTAGGGTGGATTTTTCCTTTACCTTCTTATTCATCATATTAGGTCTCAACCAGAAGTCCTAACATCACTGCCACTCTGCTTTGAGTTCACCTCTTCGAGAGCAGGAAGACTTTGCAGTGCCATCGGTACCAGTGAGGTCATATCCTCTGTAATATTTCTGGGAATTTAGAGTGTTTCACTTCATATAGAGGAGTTTACATTCTCTGATTACAAAAATATAATGTGTTGTTTTTTTTAAGGTTGATTCTTGATATTTTACTTCACTAAATATCTAAAAATTGACAGTTTTTAGTCAAAAAGTTTGGCTTGTGGCTAGTTCATAATTTCTTATTTCAGTGAAGTCATACTGTGGGAATTTGGACTTACTACCTCAGCATTTCTAAAATCCAACACGAACAGTTTCCATATAATTTAACTCTTCTGCCCAGGTCTGAAAATAAACATTATTGCTGCATGAGCCAGAGTCGTGTTATGTGCTGGTGTTACAAAAAGTTTGCAGGAAAATCATCTCCTGCTCTGTCTCTGAACCCACCAATACGACGTCTGCCAGCATTATCAACATCTCTGCCCCTGATGTAATTAATTAGAAAGCATAATGTGAAACTTCTGCGGGATAGAGTTTCTGTTACAATGTCACTTTAAATCACTCTGTGGTTAATCTCAATCACTTTGTAACTTTTCTGTGATCCTGAGGAAATCTACAGCATCTGTCCCGCATCCATTGTTTTTCCAACCCAGTGCAGATGAAACACCGCCCACTTCCGTATGACAAAAGCCTCAATGAAAGATACCTTCAGCTGTTGGTACTCCTCCATGTCCTGTTGTCCTGAGCGCACACAACCACTAAGTCTGAAATAAAAGCAAAAACCAGCCAGCCAAAACCATCACATTACAGCAGGCCTAGCTACATCATTGATTCATTAACTAATACTAGCTAACTGCTTGTACTCAGGAGCAGGCTTTAAAAAATGTTAACAGGAAGCAAGAATTAACGTTAAACTAACTTTTTAGAAACAATTTGCTAGTTTATTGTTCTAACTCAAAGCCATGGCAAACAGATGAACTGCCTCAGCTCTGTGTAAATGTGATTGTCACTCATCTTTAAAAGCACTGTTTTCCAAGCTACTATCTTTGTTCCAAAGACTCTGGTTGAACCTCAAGGGACGGGTGTATATTTTTTTATTGATCAATAGAAGCTCAATAGTGCTCAATCTATAGGATGTGTGTAGTCACTATTTTATGTGATCTCTCAGGTGTGAACCAGCTAGATTATGTAACTACCTAATCAATAATATGTGTGAACCGCTTAATCAATAGGATATGCATACTTATACTTAGACTTGTGCAACTGTCTGAAGCAAGACGAGGCCTAAGGAACTATGGGAAAACCAAACAGAGGACCATATGTCATATACATGACCATGACTGGTAAACAGCAGTACATGTATTTAGTGATCATATTGTAGAAACCTTGGTTTGACACCATTACGTGTAGAAAAAGATATGCAGGAGCAATTGGATCAGTGCCAGAGTATGACGTCATGATGGGTAGATTCATAAAAATAAACAAAAAACCTGGAAAATAATGATAGAAGCTTCTTGGAGAATGGAAAAAGGGTGGCACCCTGGAGAATACGCTCCACAATAGGTGGAGACTCCCCAGGAGACATAAGGAGATGCTTTTTGAATTCTGTTTTAGTGCCTGTGTTCATGAACCAGCCTCAAAGTACAGTAAATCTAATAATTAACACTCGACTCTGCTTTGCCTCAGTGTGTTTCTTTATTTTTGAAGTATTTCTTTAATTTAAATGTACCTATGGGTAATAAAGTAAAGTGTTTCGGAAGACCTGAAGAAGAGTTCTGCCGCAACAGGACCCGCGTTAGTGTGGTTTCCACGGGAAGGCTTCCTTTGTGTCGTTGAGGCTTTCACCATGCTGAAGTGGGCGGTGCTTCATCTAAACTGGGCTGGAAAAAAATGATAGATACGTCCTGCCTACACTCTGAGTCAAGTAGTGTGTAACGATAATAACTCAAAACCGCTCTCCTCTGTATAATTTTCAGCCAGGTGGGATTGTCGAATTGTTAGATTTCTCTGAAACATGTGCCGTCACTCACCTTCTGAACACAAACATATGGAAACCGTGGTTACTTCTATTGCTATGGTGATTGTGTGATGACGCTGAGGGAGCTCAGGCCCTTTCTTAAACCACAAACAGGGACCCTGAATACATCACCAGCCTGCTACTGCTAATAAGCAGAGTGCTCACGTGAGTTCATGAGCCCGTCCCCTGGAACAAGTGACCTTAATTTTCATTTCAATTGTTGGGTGGATAGTTTTATGAGCCCTTGTTCCATCTTCGTGTGTCTTTTCTCAGGCCATTGGTATAAAACGGCTATTAGGTTACTGGTGTTCTGTGTCTGATTGGAGCACATCCTTTGCTGTGCAGATTCTCATTAAAAATAGATCCGGTATCGCAGCTCACACTTTGGACACTTAATGCTTAGGTCAGCATGTTTGTCCATGTCTAACTGCCACTCTAATTCTTTTTACGTGCACCAGAACTCTGGGTCAGTTTGGTGTTTTTGGTGTGAAGCGGTCGAGTTCCTCGCTCGCTCTTCCTCGCTTACCGAAAGAGTCCATCACAACACAGTTGTTCCAGCAGCCAAGCGGCGTCCCTGTGTTCACTGCGGCAGGACAGTCAGTATGTTAGTGATGGTCCATTTCTGACCGGTGCAGTCCTGAATGACCAGCTGGAAACTGAACTCTGACTGTTTGCTCTCCACCAGCTCCAGACAGCGCAGAGACTCTGTGTTCTGGATGGGGCCACCCTAAAGAGAGAGAGAAAGTTAGAGGAAGTGAGCAACACAGTATCTAAACAATAACGGCCATCAAGGTTAATATGCCGCTCTACTTGGTGTCGTGTCTCCTCCGCTGAATCCTTTTACAGATACAGCACAGTGGCCTCCATCATTCTGAAACGGAAGACACTCTGATGAAACCAAGATTGAACTGTTTGGACGCAATTATAAGCGTCATGTCTGGAGGAAACCAGGCACCGGTCACCATCTGTCCAATATCATCCCAGCAGCAAAGCACGGTGCCGGCAGCGTCAGGCCGTGGGGTTTGTTTTTCAGCAGCAGGGACAGGGAGACTGGTCAGAGTTGAGGGAAAGCTGAATGGAGCAAAATACAGAGATATCCTTAATGATCCAGAGAGCTCAGGACCTCAGACTGTGCCACAGGACAATGACCCTTACCACACAGCCAAGACAACGCAGGAGAGGTTCAGGGACAACTCAGTGAATGTCCCTAAGTGGCTCAGCCAGAGCCCTGATTTGAACCCAATTGAACATCTCTGGAGGGACCTGGAAGGAAATGTCTGTCCACCGACGGTTCCCATCCAACCTGACAGAGCTTGAGAGGATCTGCGGAGAAGAATGGCAGAAAATCCCCAAATCCAGGTGTTCAAAGCTCGTCATGTCGTACCCAAGAAGACTCGAGGCTGTAATCACAGCTGAGTAAAAGGTCTGAATACTTATGTCAATGTGATACTTCAGATTCTCCTCTTTAATACATTTGAATACTTTTCTAAAATTATGTTTTTGCTTTGTCATCATGGGATATTGAGAGAAGACTGATGAGGGGGGAAAAAAAAAAGAATTTTAACGAGGCTGCAACAGAACAAAATGTGAAACAAGTGTAGGGGTCTGAATACTTTCTGATTCACTGTACACGGGCAATATTTCATCCATTGGTATTCAGATCTTTTTGGCAATACTGCTGATTTCTCTCTTTCTCTCTCTCTACCTCTCTTTCTCTGTGTGTGTGTCTGTGTGTGTGTGTGTGTGTGTCTTAGTTTCTCTAACTAGGCTGGAACCTAAACTGGGTCCTTAGTTTCGTGGAAACAACAGTAATATGTTCTAATGAGCCTGAGCCCTGGAAAGAGGAGACCAAATCTATTTGTGTCAAATTGGTCGTGTGCTTTAGGAAGGCTGTTTAGTTTTAAAAATCAATATGCTTTACATTTCCCACAACCACACACATGATAACACACACACACACACACACACACAGGAAAGACCTTCGATTGGAGCCTGAGGAGAACCGCGTGCACCACAGACCTCTGTGTTCTGTATGAGAATAGCTGACTACACTACCAATACAATTAAAAAGAGAAGACCTGTGTAGAACAGTAACACAGTCGCTCTCTTCTCTTCTCTTCTCTTCTCTTTGAAGCTTTCGGCTCACTGAAAATAAATCAATTCTCCCAGCTTGCTTGTCTGTGTGCACAGCTGCCTCTCTGCACAGAGCAGTTTGTCCACACATTGGCCGCCCTGTCACGATTCTGCCCCTCCGTTCCCCCTCCGCCCTTTTTCCACTGCTTCCAGGTCATGTTCCTCCACTCATCTGCCTAAACCTACCTTCACCCACCAGATGTCCACATACTTTTCTCCTGCTTCCTATCGACCTCTCTGCCCTGCCCCTACAAACACCTGTTCCCACTTCTCATCGGCCCCGCAGTCACCTGATCTCTCCCCAGCCTTCCACGTGTTCACCAATCAGCCTTTCACTATTCATACCGGCCCTTTGTCACATCGTCTGCTTCTGTTCTCGGTCATGTTCCCTTGAGTGAAGACGCCTGTTGTCTGTTCCTGTCTGTTCCTGCCTGTTTTACTTTCTTCTCAGCTGCCTGGTTATCCACTCATCTATCTGCCTGTAAACCTTGGAAGTATCTTCACTGAATCAGCCTGCCTTTGTTTAGCTACTTCTACTATTGTGACATGTCTGGCATGTGTAGGTGTATTCGCTTTATGGAACAAAGTGTGCACACTCTGGTGTCACACTCACACCTGACGTGTATGAAGTTCACTCAACTCACTGTCAATGTTTATGAAACCAGTTTGAGACGACTCTTGCTTTGTAACATGGTTCATAAGGATTGTTATTAAGGAGCTCAAAGTGTGCCAAGGAAACATTCCCCCGCACCGTCACACCACCACCTCCAGCCCGGACTGTCGACACAGGGCAGGTTGAGTCCGTGGAAGCTGACGTCAAATTCAGCACAAATCCAGATTCGTCAGACCAGGCTACGTTTTTCCAGTCTTCAAGCCTGTGCCCACTGCGGCCTCAGATTCCTGTCCCTGGCTGACAGGAGTGAAACCTGATGTGGTCTTCTGTCGTTGCAGCCCACGCACCTCAGTGTTGGAAGTGTTGTTCATTGTGTGAGATGCGTCTCTGCTCGCCGCCTCCTGTGACCTCTCTCATCGTGTTTTTTTGTTTTTGAGTAAAAGCTCTAGAGACCGTCGTGTGTGAGACTCCCAGGAGATCACCAGTTTCTGCTACTGCTACCGATGCTCTATCAAAACACTCATATTTTGATATGTGATGTGAATGTTAACTGAAGCTCCCGGCCTGTATCTGCTGCCACATGACTGGATGATTGGATAACTGCATGAATAAGTGAAATTTATACAGTAGGTGTTCCTAATAAAGTGCTTAGAGGGTTTATATACAGTGTGTAAAAGGGAGAGCTGGCCTTGCGTGATGGATGGCGACACTGTTGCGTTACACGTCTCGCCTCTGGAGCGTCAGCACGCCGTCTGAAGTCACACACCGGGGCAGCATAACGCCGCCTTTGTTTGGTTCATAGTAAACGAGCAGAGCCGGTGTAATGAGGGGTCCTCTTCGCAGAAATATGGCGGGATCTGTGTTTAAAAGAGGCAACAGAGAGAGGGCCAGGGAATCTGTCTGAGATTCACATATTGGATTTACAACCGTTAGCCATCACTGACATTGATCTCGGGCTAATCAGTGAAATACTACCATGCTGTGTTAAATCCCTCTCGACTTCTAATGATCCACCTGTTGAACCCTCTTCACAGACCTTAAGTCTTTATAAAAAGTGCTTTCATGTGAACCCAATCACCCACTAAATTATCTTTTCAGACCTATTTGAAAAGGTCTATCTAATTGGGGTTTCAATGATTGAAATTGCCTATTTATTATCCTTCATTATTAATTGTGTTGTGGTCTGTTGCATAGTTGTTGATGATGTTTTAGCATTTGCATCTTTGTACTTACGTCTTCTCCTCGTCTGTGTCTGTGGACACTCCACATTAGTAAATGGCGTTTCTGAAAACCAATCAGGCAAATGATTTTGTTGCTGACTTTACTGATAGCAACTGTTTCATAACCAAGATGCATAATTGATTTAGAAACTTCAAGTGACAGTATCAACCTTGAGGTGTGCTTTAGAAATTTTAGAGCCTGGAAAATGACATCAACTTGGATGTCAGGTTTTTCTAGTTATAAAACAGATTCACAGGTGTGTGTCAAATACTGACTGCAGTATGTTTTTTCTTAACTCTTATTACACAAAAGCACTAGTCATGTGAGAGCCAGACCTTAAAGTGATAGTTCAGGTTGTTTAACGTTGCGTATTTTCTCAACCGCTGAACCACCGTATTCCTACGCACAAACAGCTGATCTGCGGCAATAATACGGAGTGGTTCAAGTTCAAACGGTTGAGAAAATGTAGTCTCTAAAGGAAAATGCTGTCCGACGGCAAGATAAAAAGGTGTAAATATTCAAAATAAAACGTACACTTTTAGGTGGCAGAGCATTGAGCGGCTTGTGCTGGTATCCGTGTCTACTTTTCCAAACTCGGAGTGCGCCGATCTAAACCTACTGCATGTCACCTCACACAGCCCCGCATCAAATTACCCCAACTATCATTTCAAAGCTACTCTCATCCATCATTCTATATTTCAATGGATAAAATAACTGTGAGGTTTATAGTCAGCTACCCTCAGGCCTCTGAAGCATTTTAGTGTGTTTTCCTTTTTTGTTTTGGTTCACTCACACGGCTCTCATCAGCTCATACAAGCCCAATGATGCACTACTAATATTAGTGTTGTGTTCAGTTTGTTGCGATGCCTTCATGTGGCCTGAAAAACAAACATACAACACTAATACTGCAGGTGTAAGTCTGATATCAAGACTTGAGGTCTGGTCCATGCAGTTATCTATCTGCTGTTCCTCACGTCAGTGTATATAGATAGAGTTTGGTGATCACTGCCACCCTCCCCTTCATCGATTAATCATCCTCCTCTGCTCAGCTATGTCTGACAGATTCTGAGAGTATGTCATCTTTTGTGATCAATCTAATTAAATTAAATTTGCTGTGTGAAGGAGTCTTTCCCCTGCAGGGGGAAGTCGGTTGAAAGAGCGTGCGGGGTTTTCTGTCAGGTTGGATCTTCTCCACAGAACAAGCAAGATCTTCAAAGACCCCCTGGAGTGATGGCCGACAACAGCGATGCGAACCCTGCACCCAACCACACGTTGTACACTGGTGCTCTGAAACACTGAGCAGCTGAATAAGGGGACGCTCCTCTCCTGTCTGGTCCAGTTCAAGGTGGAATGTTGCACCTTTTATATTCCACGTCACCGCTCTGTAGAAAAGGTACAAAACACAAACGGGGGACATTGTTGTTCCGCCTTGATACCGACAGCAGAGGAAGCCGGATCGCCGTCTGTGTCAAAGGGAGAGCTGACGTTGCGGGACGAATGGCAACGCTGTTGTGTTGCACCTCGCTGTGTTAGGAATCCAGTTAAATCCCATTTCATTTCTAATTATCCACCAGTTGAACCAGGGTAAAGGGCCGGTGAAGACTCTGATGGCGCTGGTAAACACTTTATGGATGTTTTGACAGTCTGCCGGTCGACCAGGATCTCATCTCTTTCTTTGTTGGAGACCGTCTTAGGATTCGTCTCAGGAAAATTGTGGACGGTTGCTTTCACCTGAACGCTGCACTGTGCCGTCATGAGTG